AACCAGATAAAAACAATTTAAGAAATTATATCTTTTATTAGTATAATATTTGATGATAATTTATTAGGCTAAGCGCCAGTATTTATACCTCTAGGGCATCTCCTGGAAACATATCAAGCTCTTAATTTCCACAGATAATTATCAACCACCTCAGTTCAGCCCTTGAACTGATACAATTATGACCTATTGCTAGGTTTAATGGTGGCATTTTACTCTCATATTTATTGAAGACTTCAGGGGCAAAAATCGCATTACAAACGTGCAAGCTTGTCCTAGGGCCAGCCCAATTTGATTTTTGTCATACTGCTGACGAAATATGACTTCTGGTAAATTTGGTATTGATCAATTTAAATGATGTACCCCTAATTGGGACGTCAGCAGGCCTCTCTCAATAGCACTAGGTACTCCCATTTGGGCAGTCCATGTGCAAGTGCTATTGTGCCAATTATAAGGATTGACATACAAAATTCGCCATAGGGCAGGAAAACGATTATGAAATTATGATGTCAAACTTTTATTCTATTTGTCCATGGGATTTTTGAAGGTAGTTTTTTGTATGCATAATTGGCCTGAATATGTGAGGATATTAGCCCAAATTGTAAAGTGTATAATCAAATTAAGTGCCATTGAAATATCTGGCCCAAACTGTAAAATGGATAATTGATTAGTTTGACTTTGAGATATTCAGCATAAAATGTAAAGTGCATAATTGAATTAAGTTAGTGTTGAGATATTTAGCCCAAACTGTAAAGTAAATAATTATTGAAGTAGAAGTTGAGATATTTGGCCCAAGTCATACAATAGTAATTGGCTTTAGTTGAGAATAAGAGTAATTGGCTCAAGTTTTGGAAGGATAATCGGCCTGGTTCTTTGGTTGTTGAAGGGTTTATTATCAGGTCAACCACCAGAATCTGGCAGTTGCATTGAGATTTTGGGCAGTCTCTCGATACTTCTTCTTTATTTCTATCATCCTGTGGATGCTCGAGATGGGTCAGATTAACAGGGCAAGGTACTGATCAGCACTGCTGGCTGTATCATTTATCTGAGGGCACCCTATAATCTGACTGAGGTATGTTCCTTCAGGAACCTTAGCGTTAACATTTTCAGCGTCCTAAATTTTCATAATGGTGAGCTCAGTGGGTGAACCTAAAATATAATAACCTGTATCATCATGACCCCCTTCAGTGTCATCATCAGATTTGTTTTCAATGCAAGAGAGATTAACAATTAGCAATGTTTCACCTTCAGGTACTCCAGGTTGGTCAGCTTTAGAGGTAGCTGACCTTAAGCCAACCTTTTTTTCTCTGCTCAGCAAGGGCAGGGTTCTTCTTGGAACACATATCCTTGATATGTTTGTTCTTCTTGCAGTATTTGCATCTTGGCTCTTCCTCCTTCTTAGGCTTTTCTTCTTCCACGGTATAAACTCTAGGTTTTATGGAGGCCTTTAGTGAGGTCTCTGGCTTGTGGGTGTCAACCACATTAAGTAGGGCTTCTTCAATGTCCACTATGAAATTGAAGCTTTGTTTATAAGATGTGACATGATGTTAGGTTAGGTTTAGTATGTAAACCAGAAACTACAGCGGCTATGGTATCATCCAGAGTCATCATTTATTAAAGTCAACAGTGTTTGGCTTCTATATAAAAGCTTTTAGCAAATTTGGCAAGGGCTTCATTTTGGTGCAGTGCAATTATCATAAAGTTCTGTTTCTTCATACTCAGGCTCTGCTTTGACCCAAATTCCTTTATGAGAACTTCCTTCACTTCTTGAAAGGTATTCAAGTCATCCATATGATGCACCATAACCTCTTGAGCCATATGGATTAAACAAGACAAAATATACTTATCTTTTTGATGCTCAGTTGCACCTTCTATTACAACTTTATAGACTAAGAGGAAAGATGTAGTACTCCCTTTGCCAGGTATAAACTTGTCCTTTATGTAGGCATAAAGGTAATGGCCTCCAATCCAGTAACAACTTGTACTCCAGGAGCTTCAGATTTGGTAATCTCAGTTCTTACATCACTCTATTCAACTTGATGTTCCGGTAATCATATTTGGTCATGTAGAGGATTAAAATATTGATCCATTACCTCAATGGTAAGTCTTGGCGTAGCATCCATCAGATTGGTTCTTCTTTTATAAATGACTTTATATTTCTTCAAGTTCTAACACGGATGTCCAGATTAGTAATTTGTTGGAGAGCGTATGAACAGTATGTTCACAATAGCTTATTCTCATCCTCCAAGACTCCAATGCGCCAATACAACTCCTCCTTCATCTCTCTGTATTTGGTGCTTTTAGGAGGCTTGTCAGTCTTTGCTTTTACGTCTTTTGTAATAATAGACTACCATTTTTCAACTTCATTGAGGCGATGACAGACTTGGTTAATGTCCTCCAAGATGAGCTATTTGCCTCTCAAGTTACTCTACAACTTGTTGAATTGCTCAGTAATGGACAGAGTAGATTTGAGTTGTATGGTTTGCTAGCTCCTGTTTGACATGAGTTAATCAAGAAATGGTATTTTGCGACACTGATGAAGTCTCAGAGGTTTGATGGGCCTCCAGCTCATCAATAATCATATGGCTTGCTCTAGCTGTGCCTTAAAGATTGATATTTTCTCTTTCTCCTGGCAACGGCTAGTTTAAGATTGAGCTGCCATTTTGCCAAGAGCTTGAATATCGTGTTGATGGAGCTCTTCAGTAAAGGCATCAAGTAATTACTTGGTATTTCTATTTGACTCCAAGATGTCTTTTTAAAAAGCTTCACAACTTCCTCCACATAAAATGATATCACCAGAATCAATCATCCACATTTGATTATGGAGCTTAATAATTTAGGAACGGTTTTCTTTAATTAAATGGCAGACATCTCCTATAATTTGAGAAGCTAAATTATATACCGCTCATGTAGCCATTCATAGGGCACCTTAGGTGTTGATATGATGGTAAAGTTCCTCTCTTATCAACTCCTAGTAAGTGCATAATATGATATAGCGCAGGGTGTACAAATTGCATGATATAGCAAGATAGTTTTGCACTTGTTACATAAGCTTTGTGAAAGAATTGGATTTATACAGGTTCATGAGAGATCTGTCTACAGCGGATGCCCTTTTACAGGTGCCTCTTTCTACTGGGTTAATGATTCCATGAAGTAATGCTTTAAATCCTTCAATAGAGATCCAAGTAAGTTGATGAGATTGAGGAATCTCCATAAGATTTTCTTGAACTTTTTAAACATGATGAGGGGTAGAGTTCCCATTTGATCATCTTCTTCACCATTTCCATTGTGCACCCAGTGGGTGACACTATCAATAAGGTTATATTTCATTATGCAATCAATTAGTTGCAGGTATCTTTAAGTGTCAACTGAGCCCCCTGTAGTGAGCACAAACCTGTAGGGCTTCAATTTTTAAGCTCAATGGCGCTATGCCTAAGAAGCCCAACAGTCTATACTTGAGGTGTACTAAGTTGCACAACAAGTTACTTTTTATTAAAAGAGTGCCAAGTCACCACTTATGTCCCACCAGCTAAAGTATCCATCCTATAGTAAATATAGCAAAATGGATTTAAGTCAAGTACTAAAATGAAATATAGAAATAATGATGTAACTATATTACAGTAAAAATCAGGGTTTTTTGTATGTTACAATTAATAATATAAACCCTAAAAAGAAAAGTATCGATAAAAAATAATAGATGGGAAATTTGGAAGGGAGGCTCTTGGTCAGATGATACATTCTGATTTTAAATTGCCTTTGTATCATAATTTTAATAGGACAAAAATGGTGAATAGAATATTCAAGTTGGATGAGAATGTATGTCACTTAAGTTGCTCATTTAGCAGCTTCTTGATTCTACTCATTTTTGGGTTCATCTTAATTTGCTACCTTGAGTGCCACTACAGGTAGTTTTCACCTAACTTCATATGATCCATCTTTTCAATGATGCGGAAATTCATCTCAGGTATCTTAGGCTCAACTTGGTTTGTCAGAGTTTTACTAGAGTTGACTGGGGCTGTGCAGACTATCAATCTCTTCAGGTAATTTATTAAGGTAATAAATTTAATCCCCTTCTTAGGTATAGACTTCAATTCATCTGAGGGAGTTGAATGGTCAATACTCTTCCCATCATGTCTGATATCAGGATATCCAGCATCTTATGCTACTTATAATGTTAGAAAACAACTATCTTATGGCTGCCCATCCATTGCCTTCATCTATAATTAACTTAACTGAGCTTGTTATAGGCTAACCTACTGTATGGTAGTACCTTTAAGCATAAACAGCTTATAGCAGGACTTAAGGAGTTTAATCTATTTTTTAACTCAGTATGGCTAAGGTTGATTCTGTCATTTTTATAATAGTATAATTGCAAGACTTACACAACTTACAAATTAATATATTTAAAGAAAGAAATCTCTTTGAATAATTAAAAGCTTCATTATCATGTACAAATTACTATGTAAGCGCAAAATAATTATAGAAATGAATATAAGACAATTAATTAAAATAATCGCGCCTATGTGCAATTAAAATGCAAAGCCCATTAATCAAATCTTTCTCGTGGAAAAATATTTTCATATAATGAGAAATGCCATACGGAAGGATGGTGTTATTATGCTTACCTTTGGTGAACTAGTATTACCTGAGTTTAATATATATTTAACCGAGGCAAGCCGACCAGGGGACAGGCATTGCCGAAAGAAAGAAAGAAATGACATGAAACCTGAACAGGGTCAACTCCGTCGAAGAAAGTTTTTCCACCTCCAGATCGGGACTCAAATTTTTCTGGTTATGTCATGGGTAAGGTTTTCGTGATATTAGACCTACTAAACGCCAATAGCTTCCTTTGGCTGGCACCCCGATCGATGTGCGAAGGGCGGGAATCGAACCCGCAACCTTCAGGTTGGTAGCCGTACGCCCTTACCGACTCGCCTTCCACCCCCTGAGTTTAATATATAGATATGACGTTAAGTATAGTAATGACAATAAAAAGTAGAAATAGGTCAAGGCGAGGATCGAACTAGGATTACAGGAATCAAAATCCTGTGTGCCAACCATTAAACTAAACGACCATGAAATACTTTAAAAAATTATATAAATTAGATTTATATTTCCAGAAAAAATTTGGTCAAGTTGCCTTGTGTGGGCATGGATTAAACCTCCAGCTGCAGGTAATTGTTCAATTTTTTGTATAAAATCGTGGGTGATTTTTATTCATTATTTATTTTAGTTATGAGGATTGTATTAAATAAAATAAAATAAAATAGATTCAATGTAGAAATAGCAACTCCCAATGCTCAATTTTCATAAAGACTTATAAGCTACACAATAATAGCATGTCCCAGTGGAATTGTTAGAATAAGTGAAATGTGCTATGAGCGTTCCCCACAGCTGGAGGGTTAAAAACAAAAACTACAGTATAAGGATAACCCTCAGACCTCCACTTTGATTGTCTTATTTATATCCTTAGTAGTGCAGCCAGAAAACTAGTATTAATACTCAAAACCTTAAAAAGAAAGTTATCTTCTCTGTAAAACGTTATAAATTGAAACTGGTAGCATCCATAATGGTTGTACTTCCACCACGCCATTTGGGAACTATTATATCATCTCACAAATTCAGCAGTTTATTCCATCAAGATATGTTCAAAACACCTACCATCAATTTATCTTATAATTTTATACTAAGTGCTAGCGTTAAAAAGTAGGGTACTATGAAGGTGGTCTTTTTATCTAATTTGAGATGAGACATTTTTGCACAAAATGGTCACAGAAGTGGAGGTTTATCTTGCCCTGAGGAAGAAGAAAAGTTTATAATTTTCGAGATTTTTGTTTTATGGCACAAATCAATATAGTATTGTTGTATGATATAACAGGAGTAAAATATTCCAGGAAGGTCATCAAATTAATAGATATATGGTTCGCACTTCTTTTTTAGACCTATTCTTATGCCTTATTCATTAGCTTATAATAATTTGCAATATGCAAACACATGAACGCTTTAAAATTATATTTTAAATAAGTTTATCCAGAGCACAAGTAAAAGATTATATGACATACATTAAGAACTACTTCCAAATCAAAAGTTGCGCCTAATATGATCAAGGCATCAGAAGTCAATGCTTCCACCAAACTTAACCAAGTTGAAAGTAATTTATTTTTCTGTATTTCTTGTAAATACCAATTTCTTAAAGTCTTTGTCCTTGTTAAATTTATTCATTATTTTGTAATTTTTGTGTAAGTCTAATGTACAATCTTCACTAAATAGCACCCCACATCATCCTTATGAGTTGGCTTATAAATCTTTTGTACAATAGTATTGTCTGAGGTGCCGCGTCTCTCCTTATTTTGGTCTACATAGGTTATCTTTAAGTCTCCTACTATTGCATCTATGTAACATGTTCACTAATATTTATAAGGAGCAGCATGTGTAATATTTTGCTTTACCATTATGCTGTATAAATGCAATATAAACTATATCATCTTGACATGAAATCACCACGCCATTTCCAAAAACCACAAAATAAAGTGTATGACAATTTGAATCTAACCCAGAATCAAACGTTGAGTAATAAGATGAAAGTGTCAAAAGTCCTTACACTTGTACAGGCTCTTCATGAAAAAATGATGTCATCCAAACCAGTGGGAATACTTACTAATACTGAAGAAGATGGTACTTTAAGTAAGGTGACTAGGAACAAAAAATAGCCAACCTCATGTAACATATAGGCCAACTTGGATATAATCATTTTTTAAGTTTTATGCGCCTGTGAGGGCACCCAATGCAGGCAACTTTGTGGGATGTAACCTCAGGTGATTCCTTGCTATACTGGGGCTGCACAAATCATGGCCCATTACTGAGCTTCAAATGCAGGTGTGGTGGCTCACACCACCCCAAAAATACATATTCTTATTGTTTGGTATACCTGGTAACAAAGGCCGTACATTTAGTTCAGAGTTATGCCTCCCATTTATTATTGTGAGGAATGAGAATTGACTGACCCCCAAGTTAGACTTACCAGAGGAAAGAGGATTAGCATAGCTTTCCACGACTATTTCTAATGGTTGTATGACTATGGGAAAGGATCTTACCCCTTGTATTACTTCTTAAGAAAAGAAATGTTAGTTTATGGAAAGCCATAGACCATACATCACCCCCTCATAAAATGAACCAAACCTTGAACCCCTACATGTCTGCAAGCATACTTGGAGAAGCATACGCAATCAAGATCTCTTCAAACTATATAATACTAGAGGATAACTTGCACCCTAATTGGTATGCTTCAACCATATGAGAACACTTCTCTACTTATCCTCCACTGATGGACACTCTGTTAAAATATATCTGATATTACCTCCCCTCCACATACCTTACAGGCATACAGAAGGTCATCTTTCTTATGCTTACTACATTTTGCGGAGATGTCACAGTGAATAATATGTTGCTACAGAGTTGGAAGAGAAAGTTATGAACTAGTATTGACAAACATCCCTTAACTCTCCTCCCCATAGGTCCATCATACCTTGTCACTTGCTACAAAAGGTCTGGGTCAAGAACGTTGAGCAAAGCTCTCTGTCATGTAGATCCCATAGCTTGGCAGATGTGAATTTTGAGAGGCAGACACCATCACCACCTCCCACCTTTAGCCAGTCCAAAGGATGAAGTGGCTCATTCATATGGGGTACCTCCAGACTTCTCTTCTCTGTGGGAAAACCCGCTGATCCTGCTCTCCACGACTTTCTGAACACGTTTACCCAGCCTCTAATGCAGCCAGTGAAGGAATTGCTTCCCTTCAGCAGGATGGCAGTTCAGTTGCTTCCACAACATCCCATGCCTTCTTTACCAGCACCTTGGAGGAACTGGCAACATTAATAGCTGCATCCACTCTAAGCACCCTCTGACCATCGCCATCAAGGAGGTCTCCCCAATGAACCACTTCAAAAAAAGCTCTTGAAGGCCTTGCGTAGATGAGGATCTATCTCCAGTCCCCTAAGCTCCCCAAAAGGAAATTGCTCAGATCCTTTCAATGGACCATTCTATACCCTCTAATCTCCCATTGCTGCCTGCCCAAGCTCTAAAGTGATCTTTAAAGTAAACTGGCTAGATTCTACACACTTGGTATGACCCCTTGGCTGATGCCCAGATGATACAAAAGTTCTTGTTGTTCAGATCTCTGCAAGCTTTAGCAAGGTAGTCCTCCACTATTGGAAACTAACTCATGGACTTTACCTCACTGGTGACTTGTGAAATCCACTTCAGATGAAGTTCTTTGATTATACTCTTGATGTTAATCAGAATGGTGCCCCTTTCTTCACCTCCTGACACAAGTTCTTATAACTGATTTTTGATGCTTGACCCTGCCAGATGAACTAGATAACCAGGCTTTTAATTTTTATATAAGATGCCAGTGGTGTAAAAAATTTGGAAATTTACCATAGTCTGGAAAGAATTAATTTATTAATGACAATGTCTCAGCTCTGATATGATAGGTTGAGCCATTGTCACTTATAAGCCGCTTTCTTAAGGTCACTTTCAAATTTTAGGCCATATTTCGTGCAGTGTTGCCCACCCAGGGATGGGACACCCAAGGTAATAAAACTCCTCACTAGTTGCCATCCAGGGATTGAGCCCTTTGTTGCTACATCCAATGTTGCCATTATGCCAATAGTCCAAGCCCTGGATCCAAACAGGTTGACCTTTGCATTGCTTGCGCTTTGGTACATCTTCAGAATTTTCATTTCCATCTTCTCCTCCTCTGATGAAACAAAAATCCACATATCATCCAAAAACATTGAGTGTGAATAGCCCTCCCATTAATGGTAAGTTTCTCCTGGTCCAACTTCCTGAGAGACACTTAAAGGGTCCCTATTGTAAGAACAAACAATAATTGATATAGAGGATCTCCCTGACGCACGTCCCTACACAACCTAAAAGGGTGGGCGAGGACCCCATTGATATTGAATACTGATGAGTCTTCCCCACAAATTGATTTAATCTGTCTCAACAAGCGCCATTTAATTCCAACTCTAATATATACTTTCCAAAGAAACTTATGACTCACCCAAACATAAGCCTTCTCTTGATCAAAAAACAGTAGCTACCCCTTTTGCCATATTGTTATTTTCCTATTCTTCTGTCAGGTGAAGTAGCATCAGTTGTCAGTAATTGACCTTCCAGGGATAAACCCATTATGTTCTCTACCAACAACTTTCGCCACTACCCCCTTTAGTCAATCGGTTAAGATCATATATACCTTGTAGTCAAAATTAAGTAGAGTCAAAGGCTAATACTTACCCATGAGGTAGGATCTCCCTACTTATACAACACCACCACGCCTTTTAAATACGCCAGCTCGATAGTACCAGAGAATAGGAGTAGTTATAAAGTTCAGCATTCATCTCAGACATTTTTGCCTGAAACAACTTGTAGAGCTTAAGGATCAACCCATCCTCCCCAGGAGCCTTGCCATTCTTTCCATTTAGGATGGCGTCTGACACCTCTGACTTGCATATCTAAGCACATAACAACTTCTGAGTCTCCATTGGTAGTATCCCAGTCCACTTGTGAATTTTTTGGCTGCCTCTGGGTCATTCTCTGAGGGGCCATGATGGTCCTCATAGTAAAGAGCGGTCACAAGAGCCATGAAATCTGCATCTGTCACCTCAACTCCCTCATCACCAAGTAATAAGGTCCTTGCTGAGGGTCTGAAAGCCCCTACTGCCTTGCGGAGTAAGGCCACATTGCTGTTATAGTCCTCATCCCACCTAGACATCCTTTGTTTGATTCGATCTACCATAAAGGTTCCTATCAATTTCTCATATAATTCAGACTTGACCATGTAGGCAGATGCCCCATGACTTCAGAATTCTTGCAGGTACTTTTATGGCTCTTCTCCAAAGGTTTATACCTCAAATGCATGGCCCTAGCTGCTTTCCAAAGATTTCACATGCCATCTTGAGATCAGACTTTATCCACAACCATTTTGTTGGTGCATCTGTTTCCCTACAATCTGGCTTCTCCACCATCTAACCTTCTCCCTCATGATTTCATGCAGTGGAGACCACTTTAGGAG